CCGCTCGAGCGGCTCAGTCCCGAAGATGAGAAAAGGCGCGAAGGATTGCGCGACGATCGGCTGGGCAGCAAGGAGTCGCGATCCTGCGGGACAAATTGCGCGCGCACGAAGGCAGCTTTTGTGGCGTCAGCAATTGCTGGTCAATTTACCTACCCCCGCATCCGGTCATGTGATGATACACGGACATTAAATGCTCGTACAAGCCTCCACGAGTGCTCTAGCGTAGAGCCGAGCGAGTAGAAGAGAGAGAGAGAGAGAGAGAGAGAGAGAGAGCACGTAGCTTGCCCCACGTATACGATGAAGCCCGATAGCGAGCGAGCAAATGTGCTCGCTCCGGATTCGCCGTGACGTAACACAACGGCGGCTAATTTCAATGGTCGGCCTTTTCGGTCTTGAAGGGGACACGGAAGCGGATCAGCGGATACCAAAAGATACTCGGAAGTTGTCTGTGACCCTCTTTCTCCCTCCCATACTCTTTGAATCTCCTTCTCTTCTATCGCGCGAACGAGTCCTTTATGCTCGTTGTTTTTTTTTTTTTTGTTTTTTTTTGTTGTTGTTGTTGATTTGCGAATATTTGTGAAAACTTGGCCTGATAAGGACAATGTCGCTCGACACTTTAACTAGGGAAGTTTTTCTCTCCCCAGACAATAACCCTTCGATAATTTGACTAGGGTGCATTGCCGTTCCCCTATAAGTCCTCCCGCTGAAAGACGGAATATAACGAATAAGATTCGCCTAAGAATGAGCAGCTTACATTGGTTGAAATTGAAATTTTAAAAATGTACAATGTCATAGAGCGCTTTCATCGAGACATTTCGAGACGATTTAAGATTGCCGAAGCTAATCGAGTATTCTTTCTACAAGTTTTTCGAACCAAATGATGGGGCTACATGGTGCGAGAGATTGTAAAGCGAATTAACACAGCGTTGAATTATAAATAATGAATTCTGTTATATCCTTGTGAAAAATTCAGCCTCGACGAATTCCCGTTTACTTAACTTAACACACAAAACGACAGACTCGACTTTTAAGATTACGCTTTAACAATGTCCATGAAGTTTTTAAAATCAATCACCAGCATAAATTGTCGTAATGAACGCTAATTTTGTATTAAGTGATTAATTACTTTAAGAAAAACAACTCAAGCACCTCAACTATCAAGCAACTATCAATCGAATATAATGGCAAATGATAAAAGGCACACGATA